GCATCGAGAGAGAGAGATATTGCGCTGTGTCAAATCAACATCGGAGGAAAAAAGATTTCTTTTTTTTTATAACGACTAATAAATTGATTCATCAAATTAAACTAAATAAATTTATTTAACGATTTTACAAAACTTTGAACAATCTTTTGCGATCGAAGTTGCCGCATGCCTTGGAAGTTGCGCTGCGTTGTTTTGAATTTTTTATAAGGTACGAGAGGAAGTGGATACACGCAATTTCCAAGAAAAATTAAAAACATTAATGCAAGCAGAGCCAATGCGGAATGCATTATATCGCATTATATCGCGCAATGCCGCAATTAGATATCTCTTGATAATAACGCGCAAAACCGATCAAACAGCCGAGTGAACGACGTACGTCGATTTCGCGATGCCCACGCTTGACCTTCCTGCTTCGAAGGAGTGAGTCGAAAAAAAAAAGAGCCGACACGAATGCATTACGTCATTATCGCTTGGAGTCTCCAACTAACTTTGTCACAATTATTCATGATTACATTATCCGTTTCGCTAACGCAAAATTCGCAAATATTTTTACGATCGCCGATATTATTTGTCGTCGCGGTAGATCGAGAAAAGACTGAAAGTTTATTGGAATTATTAAATGGAAAATTATTAAGAGAGGAGCTTCTAATTTTAGACCGACCGATTTAGAACGATCATCATTATTGAAAAAGATTTCTAGAAAAACTATTTCATTCTTCAGGCTAATTAGACCGCGAAGTAATTAATGTGCCGAGCCATTTTTAGACATTCTAGAAGGAAGATGTGTATCTATATAACGCGTTCCAGAATTTTACCGGATATCTTTTGCATTACAAATTCCCGCTTGTTAAAAAAATTACAAAAGAAAAATGTATATTCCGTTGTGGCTCTGGCTGGTTGAGAGTTGTGTATGTAGAAGAAAAAAAATTTGATCAAAATCTTTAAACGCATTTCTAATATCTCTATGTGACAGACATGTGCGTTTCGTGCACGCTCGGCACGCATCGAAGAGCACGCGAGAAAGAGATGCGTGCTGCACGGAAAGCGAAGTTCGCTCGGATAAATCTGAAACGTGGATTCGGAGCAAGGAGGACCGCCGAGAACGGCAACGGGTTAGCTCATAAATAATTGATGAGGAGGTGCGATGCAGCTTCGCTCGCCGCCGATTTGTAATTGTAATTTCGCGAGGTGCATGCCCAGTTAAGCAAAGTAATTATGGGCAGGTTTCGTTATCGGGACACGTGCATGATCTGTGGAAGACAACGAGATTGCGCCGCCGCAATCTTGAAGTTGCCTCTCTCGTCTTTCTTTTCTCGGTGTGTCCCGTTTCTCTCGTTAATATTTAATAACTTTCGTTCGTCGCAAACGGCATTTCTGAAACAGGAATGTAAACCAGCGCAGCACAGACGTATGGATATTATTTCGAGATATCGTAAAAAATAGAAGCAAAAATAAAAATTTAGGAAAAAAAAAAAGAAAAAGAATTAAAATAGAACTCAAATATAGAATAGAAATAGCTCTTGACATTTTTAACAGAACCGATCATCGATTGCGGTTCATTTTTTCGCGTTTATGACATACGTGAAATTAATTCTGCTCCGACTTACGTCAATTTCGAAGAAATGCCTTATAAATATAGTACGAAAGTGCGATACAGCACGAGGTGCGCCCGTATAAAAACTTCGCATGGACTCACGCGAAAATTCGATTCGTCTTCGACGAAATGCAAAGTTCAAGGTTCTTCGAGAGCATCGTCGGTCGTGCGAAATGATTGGTTCTCGGTCTACCGAGCGCCGTAATCGCGAATGGTACCTGCGCCCAACAATTCCATACTCGATACTCCTTGTCTCTCCCCCTCCCCCTCCCCCTCGCCCTCTCCCTTCCACTGGCAAACAATAAATTTTGTATTTGTCATAGCCTCATTTTCAAGCGTGACGCTCGGACAAATCGGGGATCGATACTTCAGGAAGATGGTTATCCAAACGGATCCAAATGGAAATACAAACGTATAAATAGATAATTTCCAAATAACATTGTGTAGTCTCGTACGTCAAACGTAAAAGGCAATCGGATATATGAAAATCATTTATTCTGTCGCGCGTTGACGTTACGTTTATGAAATAACGAGGAAGGGAACTAAAAGCGAAAGGAAATTTGATTATCGAGACTCTTAATTGTGAAGAAAACAATCTGCAGAAACAATACGACACAACTACGTTCAGAGTTATTTAAATTACAATCAACCATAAAAGAATTGTACTTTAACTCTCGGCAAGGCATTTAAATTCTTTAATATATTATACGATAAAAGAAGAGTGTTACAATACTGTACGTAACAATATCAAGCGTTGTAAAATGATTTTATTGAGTATCATAAAAAGGTTGACAATTTTTATTGAGAATTATTACAAAAGCAAGAGTGAGCATTTGTTCCATTCGCAATGAAATGGTTATCTCGACGTAAATTTATTTTGCAATCAACATTGTCTGGAAATAGTTCATTTATCTCTCCTCAAAGAAGTCTTGTTTCTCATTTACACTTTTGTTGGCTCGTTCGTTACATTGATACCTTTAGGAAGGAAGAGAAATTTTCTCTCACTAAAAGCAACTAATTTTCGCGGTATCGCGGTGTTTCGCAGTGAAAACGTAATTTCGCGCGAGCGAACAGCAGGATTCAAAGTGGAGCGGGCGAAACAATTCTTTTTTTTTCTTCCCCTTTCTTTTTTGGTTCATAGTAATATGATGCAGCAATATATTTGTGAACTTGATAGGCGGCACGCGAACGGGATGCCTTCCCGGAAAGCATTACAACGATTTTTCCTAGAAAACTATTCCCGACCCAGCGCACGGAGTGGAAGCCGCAGTTAAAGTCGAAATGGAATGGATGGCGGTTTTACAAAAATATTCAATAGTCCGGATAATGCTTCCCACGTTAATGATCTTAATTTCTATGCTGCGCGAGGTACGCCTACGGATCGGAATTTAAAAGCGATGAATACGATTAAAGTTTCTTAGTAGATTAATCGATTTCCAGTTGGCGAACGGACCTCGTCGCTGTGAGACGCAGCTGCGGTAAGGCTCATCTTATTGACGCAAATTGACATTAACTCGTCCAAAACGGCCAATTTTTCGCGTCGGCGCGCCAAGTCTATGAAAGCGACAAAGAAGTAATAAATCTTGATAAAGCAACTGCCAAACATACGACTCGTTTATATCAATTCTTAAGATCACTTCCATTACTCTTTCCAACCTTGAACTTTGTGCTTCGCTTGAAATTTCCAAGTAACATCGATAAGTTGTCGCGAGTTCTTTGCGAGCGGTTTACACTTCACGAATACATTTAATTTCGGCTGTAAGGACAATATGCCGTGACAAACTAACGCATTACTGGCTACGCCAATTTGCAGTATAAAGTAAAACTACTTATATCTAACACGTCAGCTTATAAGAAACCAGAAACATTTATTAACAATGGAAAAAAGGGTTTTTTTTTTTTAATAGAATTATTTCTTAAAAGAATGAGAGAGATGCTTCAATTCAACACTGAGAAATTTAAGTAACAAAAAAATTTAGAAATATTGATATATCTGTGTTTTATTTCACTAACAAACAAGTAGTAGAGTACAATAAAATTTATCGCCATTTTATTTCATTTGAAAATCTGTCATCAACATCGCGTTATCCGCAAAAATCCGCTGTTGTATATACGGATCGATTACTAAAACATCATGTAATCTCTCATTGATTAAAAATGTCGCATTAAAGTAGCGATATGTCATACTTTGCGTGTCTTATACCCTGCATACGTACGCAAATCCGCTTTGTATACCGGCTATTCTATTCGCTCGGTCGCTTTGCTTGATTACGTCACTGTTCGCGAAAGTAGGAGCAGAAGGAAAACTAACGTTAAACTATTGAAGCGAATCGATGTAAATCGACACGGACTCGGTCACGTTTACCGTGGGTGCCTTATTCGATCGTCCGCCCGAGGTGGTAGCGGTGACTATCATCTACCGTCGTAAGGGTGGATAAGCTCAGACGGACATGCGCGCTGCCTCGCGATGTCACCACGCTGTAGTTTGCAACAACACACAGTTGTGATGGTAACACTCACAAGTGCCGCAGGCGCGTTTCCGTTGGCGTTGCCAATGTGCGCGTCGTCCGATTATTAAATCATTTCTCCGGCTAATCCGTGTATTCCGTGTAACTTTCGCGGAATTAATCATTTTCACGGATTAACCACCCGTGAAAACGATGCGATTTGCGCGAGCCTCGCGGTGGTGCGTACCATGCGTTTCTCACCGGTTGACGTTGACATTGAACGCCGTACCGTTTTGTGCGTTTTGTGTGCGTGCAAATTTATGTGATCGCATGAGCGTCCGATCGCGATTTTAGGTGGCGAACCGGGATACGCGTATCTCGATCGCGTGTACGTCGCCCCAGGCGACACGCGCTCTCGGTGAAAAGGAGCATTCCTTAAAGTAGAAAGTCGAGTCACTTTTTGAAAAAGGCAATGGTCGTCGTTGCTCGTGCTCGTATCGATTTAACGAAGATTGGCCGCGATAGATTTGCTAACAGGACTACTGACAAGTTTCGATCGAAACCTCAAAAGTTATTCTATCACGCGCGATGTTCCATAGAAGGAAAACTGTGTCTACTATGAAACGTAAATTTTATAAAAAATATGTAGTGCAAAATTGTTTTTAGATTCGTTTTTTTATCATAAAATTTTCATAGAATTTAGGTAAACTCGGAGATAAAATAATTAATTTAAATAAACTTAGAGGTTATCAAGTTTCTATAATAAATTACAAATTGTCGTAACGTGCAAAAAATTAAATGTAAATAAAATAGAATAGAAATTGTGCAACTATCGCATATTATTTGCAAAATAATTGAAAAAATTCATTAAAAGTAGGAGGTATTAATATGCGAAAATTATTTATAAAATAACAAAAATAATTTATAAAAATATTTTAATATTTACTATTTATATTGAGAATTTTAAAAATAATTTAGTAAGCGTACTTGATGACATTTCAGTTAACTTAATATTGCTTTAAGAACTAATTTGTTTCAAATTCTTTTCGCAAAGTTAAAAGAGAAGAGATCGTGAACTTGACATAGTGCGTTACAGCCTCTACATATCGTCAATACAAGTAGGCTCAAGTGACTATTCTTTAGCTAGGTTTACCTCCATATGTTTTCTTTCTCTAGAAATTCTGTTTTAAAAGACGAACATTAAAAGTGTGCGCGTGCGCAAAACGGAGTTACACTTCTTACATTTCCAAATTTTCTTCTGAAATATTCAGGAGACTTAACTAGCGACGTTTCTTGGAGATATGAATTACGAACTTTACAAAACTAAATTTTTGAAGTCCACGAAAGAAACTAAAACGATCATCTTTGGGTGTTAAAAAAAAAAAAATTGATAGTGCCGATGATTCGTGATTGGATGAACACGAACTTGAGTTTTTAGTGTAAATGAATTTGTGTGAGGATCTCTCAGGACAAATACAAGACCAACGACATTCAAACGAGGAACTGAGAAACCGATAAAAAATGCATATCCGATCGCAACAGCTTGGCGCCCGCGGAGTTTCCATGGACGTGAAAACATCATGGGCAGCTCAGGAACACGATTCCACGTTCGCTAATTTGGAAACCATGGTATCGAAAAAACTCTCTCGAGCAAAATGTATCACAAAATATATTAAGATCCGGAATATTGAAGCACAAAAATTATTAGACTTAAAAATCAAATCTCTTATATTATCATCGCGGCTTTTATCAATCGATGGGTAGCGATAAAAGTGTACGAACGAAGATATATTCGTTTAACGAAAGCGGAGAGATAAGCGAGCGAGCAGGTGATCGTATCGTCAAAGCGGGTCGACATCAAGCAATTTCGTAAGACTCGATCGACGACAGTACCCTGAAGCCGGAAAAGGAGAAACCGCGAAGCGAGGCACGCTGGAGAAACAAGAACGTCGCTTATTCTATATACGGTTATGTGTGTCGTCGACTTCTCGAATCTCGAGTAGCCCACGCGATTCAGATCGACATTCAATCTGTGATCCTTCCTTTAAAAACCGCTACTTCTACCGTATCGAAACGAGCGATCTTGAAGCGCAACTCGTATCGTTTATTGATCTATTTTCAGTGTGTAAGCCCGCCACAGGGGTTTTATCTTCTTGTTCATCTTGTTCGTCAATCCCACGATGTTGTTACTCCATGTCTAATTGGCAGTTAGCTATTAGTGGATGGATTATTATCAAATAGCATTTAATTAGAACGCGATAGAAATAGCAATCGTGTTTACAGCGCATATCGATCACTGTAATCTCGCGGACGCGTATTACCATTTACTAATTTGATAGCAACGCATTATGAACATTTGTTAGTTCAAGAAGTAATATCACAATCAAGGCATGGTTATCTGTACGATTAATAAATTGATTTCCTGCATCTGAAATATATTTTCACTTTATAATACTTTATAATACTTAATCTCTAACAACGATGTATCGTTGGATGTAATAACCTAGAATTTAGAGATCGCTTTAATGCAATTTGCGTACGTCTAAAAATTTCTTAACATATCTCCTTTTTGATCTAAGACCGTAAATGTAACCAATTAACGTTGCATTATCATTATCAATAATCATCTCGCTGAATCTCGAGTTTACGCTCGATCGTAACCATACGATCTACAGAGGCAAAGTGTCCAATATGGCCGGTTCATTAGGAATGAATCAATTAGTGGCGTGCCTAATTGCCGATGCAATCATCGAAGGGATATGCAATTAGGACCTGCCGCATGATTATTAAGTCACAGTTTGATCTTTGCTCCATAGCTCTCAAAGCACAACTGCACAAAATATTGCAATCCTTAGAAAATATATTACATTATAAAATATTAATAAGTTAAATTATAAAACCAAGTAACAAGGTTATTGAATTCTAGAAATTATTTCTTTATCTTAATTTGTCCCTTTATGGTATTTAGCGAAAACAAATGTTTCGATTAAACAATATACATTAAAACTTATTTCTTCTTTTATCTCTTCTTATCTTATTGAAGGAAAATCTTTCTTTCTTTCTTTCCGCAATATACGATTACAATTGAATCGAAAAATTATAAAAAAAATTATTTCCAAATTACAGAACGAATAACAACCTATTTATCTGTTACCCATCATGTTTTTTTCTTTCTTTTCTTTTCTTTAAACTGAAACCTTATCTTCCTCAATGTACGATTGCATAATCGTACATTGCGAATTCACTCGTGGCACGTCGCGGTCGAAAATAATACCTCTAATAATACACCGCGGGTGCGAAAAGGCCCGGGACGAGCAATGCGGGGTTAAAAGACGAACGATCCCCGCGCGTTAGCATAATAACGAGTTTACTAACCCTCCTCGCATGTAGGTTAGAGGTGAATCGATGAGGCAGCGCCGGTGCCTGCATATGCATCGTCGTTCCTACAGCCACGGCAGTGGCAGAGCCTGCCGCGATACCATGCACCTCTCGCATGCGAGCCGACGTTCCAACCGCGGGCAACGTCGGCCCGCATTTCCGCGCGGCGACACGCCGATGTTCAAAGCGAATTATCCCGCGTCGCAGGCCCGCTTCCAGCAGAAGCAGCTGCAGGAGAAGGAGCAGAAGCTGCTGCAGCTGTACGACCAGCAGCAGCAGAGGGCCTACCAGGTGGTGCAGCGGGGTAGCGCGGGTTCCAGCAGCTCGAATCACGGTTCCACGGTCAGAACTGCAGCGACAACAACCGCAACGGCGGCGACTCACACGACCTCGACCTCGCAGGGTGGTAAGGTAAGCGGAGACGCCGTGGTAAACGGAGAAAATAAAAAAAAAAAAAACCACGACCAAATCTAACATTGCGATGCATTTATCTAGTTAATATTTAATATATATAATATGTAACGATAAAACGTGAAAATAAATGGTACATGTGGTGCCACGAAATGCATTTGTGCTTTATTAATAATTAAATATTAATTAAACAGCAATTACATTGTGATGTTAGCTTTGTTATTCATTACAATTATGAATATTCCAGAATTTTAATTTAATTTTTTTCTTTAAATGACAGTTTAATATTTGCTCTAATAGATCTTTAAACTTTTATCCGTGGCTTTTTTGCGACATTTAATACATATTTAATTATATTTTGTGACATTTATTTTCACACATTTTAAATACCAATGTGATTTATATTTTTACAATTTGCGTGTATATTTTTAATGCGTTTTATCGTTAAATATTAAATAATAATATGTCATAGTACACTAGTTTTAATCATGTTTCTTGTTTTCTTTATTTTCGCGCGCCAACAATCGCCTTATCAAAGTTAATCACCTTGTCGTGCACTAATTTATTTCCTAAAATGATTAAGATGAAAGATTTTTCTTATGGCCCGAAAGCACGTCACAATCTTAGATCTTACCTCGCGAACGTTTAATCTCTCGTTTGATATTTCTCTCGAGCGTGTTGTTAATTATCACGCAGGTGAGGCAAATGTTCGACGAGAGGCGGCAGACTACCGTGAAAGGAATCGACAGAAGTTACCCGCTGGAGCCGCTCGAGAACAAGCTGCGAAAGCAAACGAATACGAACGGCGTGGTGACGCAGAGGAACGGTAATGTGACGGTGAATCGACAGTCCGTGAAACGTGTGTCGCGCGCGGATGTCAACAGTAACGTTAACGGCGGCAAACCCGTCGTTTCTTACCACGAAGAGATCATTCGCGAGTCGTTCGGGCCGCCCGTACGTCGTCACGATGACGACGACGAGTACGGCGTCGAGAATCGCGTCGCCACGTTCGCCAACGGATATTATCGTCACGAAGCTGACAATGAGGTGGGTTGCGTGCGAAATACCAATGCTTCTTTTAATCTTTTAAACACTTGACATTTTGCATCTTGCAGAGTACAATTTATTTAAAATTGTTGTTAAAATTAAAAGCGTTAGAAACCGCTACCGCTTTGTGATGCGTATTTTGTTTAGGGCAACAATTATTTGATTAAATATGTTTTTACGAATATTTTTATATATATATATTTTTTTTATTAATTATTTGTATATTAATATTTTAACCGCAGCAAGAGGAAGTATTAGATCAGGATACGATGGAGAGAAATCGTATGATGGCGAAAATCCATTTGATGGGATACGACGAGACCCTGAAGCATCGCGTGAGAAACGATTTGGAGAGCGAGGAGTTTCCGGAATATCTCATGGTGGATGTGCCCGACAAGCTCTCGAAAAGGAACGTTACGAAGAAATTGTCCCAGGCAGAAGAGCGACTCGAACGATTCAAGAACGCGAACGCGAAGAGGAGTAACATGTCGAAACAGTCGAATTCTACTAGCACCGTGATAAGAAAACGATCGAAACAAATGGTCCCGACAAAATCGAATTCCAGGTAAGATAGTTTCTCAAATTAATGAAATTGAAATTCCAAATAAAACAACAAAAAATTGATAAGACCAGTGTGTCACAAGTGTCTTGAGTCTCATATTCAATATTCTCGGAATTAGAAATTAAATCTATTATTTATTATGTAGCTGTGCAATCTCGATCATCGACAACAATCGCTAACAATTCGCCGCTGCTTGCCAGAATTAATTTATACGCCACATAGTTGCAATTGCTACCCTCGACTATTACAATTATAATAGTCGCGCTAACAATGTGTATCATAAAAAATCCGAAAAAAAAAAGAAAGATGAAGAAGAATATAATATCATGTGATCGTATTTGTTCTAATACATTATTTGTCTAACCCCCCCCCCCGCCTGATCGCCGTAAATTAGAGCGAGCATTAAAAAGAGGACAGATGGTACATAACTAATTTGGCAGAATCGTAAATATCGAATACACGAGCATTTCTCGGAGAGAAGTAATTAATTCGATTAATCTAAGTGTACGCGGAGCGAGTGTCTTCGCTCCGATCCGAAGGAAACCACCCGAGCTTAATTATCATCGTACGCGTCACATTTAACCGCTCTTCACACGAGGCAGATTTAACACACAGGGATGCGAGAAAACTATAACTAGCGCAACGTCCACTACAAAAAGCAGCTAGCGCTAATTAGCTTGGGCGCTGAGCCGAAAATAAGGTCGGCCGCTGTAAGAAAAAGCACGCCTCTTCACGATCCTGCTTCAAAGTCGTCCTACATTTATGTACCTTCTCGACTATACGTTCTCAGACCGTGGAGCGAGATCGCCAGAACTTCCCCGAGCAGCGCGAGAAGCGGAAGTAGCCGGACTTCAGAGCGCAGTCAAAGGATTCTTGCGTGTGCAAAGAGTCCTCTGCCGAGCGGAACGTCTCGCATAGTTGACGATGTAAACGCGAGACGAACGGAAAGTTCGGATACCGAGACGTTCATTCGACCTGCGTCTCCGCGAAGCTTCTCGATGAGAGAAACTGCTGAGGTGGCAAGTAGCCCGAAAATTCGTAGGAATGAGTTCAAATCGTTGACGTCCGATGGAAAAATATTTATGAGACACAGTGCAAGTCCGCGGTTCTTTTGCAAGGAATCCGAAAGATCTGGCACGACCATCGATCGAAAGTCCGATTCCTCCGGATCGCCATTATTCTATCGAGAAACGTTAACAAAACGAAACAAAAGTCCACCAGTCTTTCTCAGCGAATCCGAACAGTCCCGTAGAACGAGCGAATCCAAATCACCGATATGGTATGACAAGAGAATCTCGTCAAGAGAGAGCACGAGTCCGCCATACCTTCGTCGTGAATCCAAACGATCCGAGACAGCTTTGAGTACCGATCGAGAAACTATCGGATCCAAATCATCCGAATGGAGCACGGGAACATTAAGTACGAAAATAGGTCGACTATCTTCTGCATCTAAATCGCCATCATATAAAGAAGAAATATTAAAAAGGCGAAGCACCAGTCCGCAATTTTTTTGCAGAGAATCCGAACGAGGGGGCACGACTATGAGCATCGATCGTGCGACTAGTGAATCTAGATCATCGTCGCACAATCGAGAAATAGTAACAAAGCGAAGCGCGAGTCCGTTCTTCCTCACTGAGTCCAAACAATTCCGTAGAACGAGCGAATCTAAATCACCGATATGGAATGACAAAAGAATCTCTTCAAGACAAGCACGAGTTCGCCGTATCTCCGTCGTGAATCCAAACGATCCGAGACAGCTTGATACCGATCGAGAAAACTATCGGAATCCAAATCATCCGTAAACTGGAGCACGGGAACGTTAACAAGTACGAATATAGGTCGATCATCTTCCGCATCTAAATCGCCATCATATAAGGAAGAAATATTAAAAAGGCGAAGTACCAGCCCGCAATTCTTTTGTAGTAGAGTCCGAACGAGGAGGCACAGCTATGAGCATTGATCATGCAACTAGTGAATCTAAATTATCGTCACAAGATTGGGAAATAATAACAAAACGAAGCACAAGTCCGCAATTTTTCCTTAGTGAGTCCAAACAATCCCATAGAACGAGCGAATCTACACCACCAATATGGGATGACAAAAGAGTCTCGTCAAGACAGAGTACGAGTTCGCCGTATCTCCGTAGTGAATCCAAACAATCTGAAGAAATATTAAAAAGGCGAAGCACCAGCCCGCAATTCTTTTGTAGAGAGTCCGAACGAGGAGGCACAACTATGAGCATTGATCGTGCAACTAACATTACAAGTCCATCGTATCTTTACGGTGAATCCAAACAATCTGAAAGAGCATTGAGTACTGATCGAAAAACTATCGGATCCAAATTGTCCGAATGGAACAAGGAAATAACAAAGCGGGATATGACTGATGTTGAACGGAAGAAAATCGAAACAAATCGACAATTTTTTTCGTCCAAATCACCATCGTATAAAGAAGAAATATTAACAAGACAAAGCTCCAGTCCTCAATTTTCTTGCAGAAAATCCGAACGATCTGGCACAAATATGAATATTGATCGTAAACATAGATTGTCATTGCGTGAACAAAAAGTATTGATAGACCGATTGTTGAGCGGGAAAGCCAAGCAACAATCTGCATTCATAACAAACATCGATCGGAAATATAACGGATTCAAATTATCCGGAATTGTACGTGATAGGCGCACCACGAGTCCCCAGTTTTTCTGCAAAGAGTCTGAAAAATCTGCTACAACGATGTTGATCGAACCAAAATCAAAAATAACAGATTCCAAAGATATATTAAAGGAGCGTGATTATATATCAAATACTTCCTACAGACAATCTGTAAAATCTCCGTCATCGATCGATAAAAAAATTGGTTCTACACAAAGTAGATATAGTCCTTTAGTCACTAGATACGAGCAGGAAAAAGCTTCGAAGAAAAATGAAATCAACGCTGTTACAAATACTCGCAGATCGTCGAAGATCTCGGAGGCATCAGCTAGTTCAATCGTAAATCTAAGATACGGTTTAGAATTCGATAATATTTTCCAATCAGCAGGGCTTGTCCGTAAATTCATGAAATCCCAAGACGGAGAACAGCGCGAGACTCGTCAATCGCCTTCAAGGAAACGCAACATCAAGGATGTAAATGCTCGAATCTCCGCAAGAGGTAATCAATCGAGGAATCGACATAAGACTCCATCGCCTTTCCAAACAGCGAAATCACCGTCTCTCGAAAATAGGAAGAGAACTACGCCGGAACTCTTTCGCAAAAGTATCACTCCAACGGAAGTCGACATGGAGATTCAAGAGATAATCATGACCGATCATCGTATTGAACGCGATAAATTGCAAAAAACACCGAGCCCAATATCGAAGCGACAAATTGATGGAACCTACACGAAATCCAACAGTAGAGTAAAGTCCAAAACTTCGATAACCTACCCTGTTCGCAAGACCCATAGACAGAGAGAGTCCATTTTAGAATCAAGTGTCTTCAAGTCAGAGAGAAGTCTTTCCGAAAGGGGCAGAAAAAGTATAGATCACCGAAGCGATCAAGAAATTGAGGGAAGTGCCATCAGTCTAAGTAAACTCAGCTGTAGTCCTGTAAGCCAAAGTTCTCAGCGTATCATAACTCGAGACAGAAAGGAAAATGAGACTAAAGTGTCTCGGACGAGGGAGCAAACGCGAAAACAATTCGCAAGAAATGAGAGTAGATACGTCGCGACTCCACGATCCACGAAACACGAAAAGCGACAGCGCGCAAATTCTCGATCTCCAAATCAGATGGGGGGGTCTCGTCCTGCGGGAAATAGAATTGGCAGCCCAAGAGTAACGTCTCCCGATTTTTCTAGAACAAGAAAATATCGCGATGATACAGTTTCGCCGATTTTGCACCTCACGGAGAGGACCAAAGGAACACGTACAACAAAGGTCGATCAACTGCAAGGTTTGCAATCGGCACGATTGGTGCGGGGTGCTATAAAAGACAGAACCCTGTCTGCAGACGATGAATGCAATCGAGAGAGAGGAGATGAGAATAAAAATGTAGCGATTGATGAGGTTGACGCTGGGATCGGCGTGAAATATCACACGGTAGTCAAAACCGCTTTAAACAGCGGGATCAAGGATCGTCGTAAAATCGCTCGGCCGAACGCCGTTGATCGGATCGCAAGCGGAAAGATCTCTCCTCGCGAAACGCAGAAACCGATGAAGTCGAGCACTTCAAAGAAAACATTTTCTCCGACGAGAGAATGCGGCAGGCGGCACGAGGTAAAGTCTAGGATTTCACCGCGAGTTTCACCTTTGCGAAAAACAACAGAAATTTCTCGTAGCGCCGGCTCCCCGAGGATTTTCTCATCCCGCGGTGTCGTATCAAAAGCGGATCAAACTTCCACGTTTTCCAAATTTTCGACGTACTCCGTGAAAGATCGCAAACGCGACAGCGTTCCAACTGCAAAAAAATTGATGGAATCGTTTGATAAAATAAGCGCGAAACGTAAAATCGAAGAGCCAAGAGAGGCTGTGAGAGAATTTTCGAAAGTGCGACATGAAGATAAATATGAAAGAGATTTCGAAAGAACGGACTCCGTGGAGTCAGCATTGAAACGATTTGACTCCATCGGTGCAGAATTCGAACGTTCTTGCCCGAGCTTACGGACATCTCCGGACATTTCCTTACAAACGATGAACGTCCAAACGAAAGAATCAATCGCCTCAAAAGAAACAACAATCCCTTCTTCTGAAACAACGAATCGTACGATTTCAGGATCGACGCTAAAATCTACAGTCGGCAAAGATCTGAAGGAAGTTGAAAACACCGCGCGAAAAAGTGATTTGAAGATGATCCAAAAAGAGACTCGTTCCTCTGGAAGACCAACGAGAACCGAAACAAATTTCGTCGAGAACAAGCAGAGTTTAACGAAAATTCGATCACCGAAGTGCAAGCGACGATTATTTGAATCTAATTCGGAAAAGGAAGAACGGCAAAAATCGAGTTGCTCAAAAGCGCGAAAGAACGACAGTTTTTCCTCCGTAAGTTTCAGATTTCGAAAAGACGAAACATTGTCAAATGTAAGATCCAAAAGTCTTGATCGCGACATTGCAAGAGAATCAAAGACGCTGGAAGAGACATTTTCCGTGAAACCGTTACGGTCTATCGAGGATATTCGAAAATCGATCGATAACGAACGAAATAAATTAGTCGCTATAGAAGAGTCGAGGTCAGCAATTGCAAATCGGCGTTCGGCCTCACGAGAGGATCCCAATGCAGCGAGAAAGATATTTCTCGAGGCCGATTCCGCGAGATTGACTAAAGTTAAATCCTGTGTATCCAGGATAACGAAGAGCCCGAGTCCCGATTCGGCTGCAACAAAGCAGCGCGAAACGAACGTTCGAACGACAAGAGGAAGCACTCCTTCGTCCCCCTCGAAAAGTCCTGACGTTGCCCCCAGGGTAAGTATATAATTAAAAAATTGCAATAAAACTATCGCAGAGTTGCTTTGTGAAAAACGAAGATAATTTTACAATGCCCCATTCTTTTCCTTTGTTAACTTATTTGAATATCTTCTTCTTATAATAAAAAGCTATTTT